GAGAGAGAGAGAGAGAGAGAGAGAGAGAGAGAGAGAGAGAGAGAGAAACTCATAGTAGTTTCACCTTTTGTTGAGTCTAATGAGTTCAATAGCGCATATAGAAAATTCCCATCAAGGAAAATGAGGATAAGTGTAAGAGTCTGGAGTTGCATGCCAGCTAGGAGCTGGTGCTACCCAGCACCCGGGTTGATTTTCATCTCAGTTCTGTCTTCCAGGACCAATGAAACCAAGCATGCACATTCATACATTCTTGTTCAAGACAGGCAGAAGAGGCAGAAACCTGTCCCCAGGCATGGAATTCTGAGCCCACCTTTCAGTCTGCCTGAGCAGTATTGTTACGTGAATTTTATAAAACAATAGTTGTCCGTGGTACACCTAAGGCTAAGTGGTCTAAACAGGGCCCACCTCTTTTGTATCTCGTCAGATCTCTGGGCAAAACTGAAATTCTGTTTCACAGGAGGAAGGAGCCAATGGATATTAAGTCAGAAACTAGTTTTCCATCGCACACACCAGACCATGAGGTCATCCTGAATGACCACACTGAGCATACAAGATGAGTTCCTCTTTGTGTTGACTCAAATGTCATGGAGAAAACTTGGTGAACTGTGAGAAATCAACGTCCAGGCTCCAACAGTCAGCAAGTGCTCAGGAAGCTGTTCCCTGGAGAAGAGCATGTGGAGGTCTGAGACAGAGCACATTCGGCTCCAGGAAGCTGGACACCCAGCTGCAGAGACATAAGCAATACAGATGTGGGACTCACTCTCCGGTCAGGAGTCAGGAGATGGGAGGCGCCGTGTTTACGATTACGGCAAAGTCACACTTTGAGCAACCCAGGCTGCTGGGGTTTATCTTTGTCCTCGTCCTTTGGCGCGTCCTGACCATGGTACCTACAAGTGTTTGCCACACAGTTGGACGAGAGGGCTCAGGCCACCTTACTGTCATGGTGCACACCTGGAACCCTAGGCTTGCCCGCACATCTGTTCCCTCTTCCTCAGATGCCCTCCCCAGCTGGATAGCACCTGCCCAGATGCCAGGCCCCCTCAACTCACCTCCCTCCAATAGTTTCCCCTGTTCTTTGTACCACATCAGAGATTTTCCTTTCATCCTGGGCTCATCTTTTGTGAGACTGCAGTTTTTTCCAGGTTAGTCTTCCCTCTAGATCAAAAACAAAAAACCAAACAAACCAAAAAACCCTCAAATTCCTTTTCATTCATCTTTGTGTCCCTTGCCACTACGTCACAGTTCTTCTGAATAAAAGCTTACTGACTTAAATTGTCAAGTTACTTCTGTTTCTTCCCACTGTGTTTGTGGGTTTCCTCAGGACATGCTATCTTAACCCAGCCACTATAGTTTTTCTTTTTTTCTATCAAATTGACTTTTTTTTTAAAAAAAAATAATAATTTCCTGTTGTATTCTGTTGGTCTTTGGGCATTAATCTCACCACTCAAACATAGTCAGGTCCTCTGTTGTGATACATGTGTGTAGGCGTTATCAGCTCCCCCATATATGCTGAAGAACGGTCCAATGGAGAATTGCAATTTAGACTCACACTGATCTAGGCTTTAACCATCATTCACATCATTAAAGCTGTGATCTTAGGCAAGTTTCTTAGCTACTCTAAGCCCCTTTCTTCCATAAAAAAAGAAAGAAAAAAAATGAAGAGGAATTATGTAGTGAGACCCTGTCAAAAAAAAATTAGATAATAAAACAATGGGTATCGCATTTACCATTAGAAAATGATAACTGCTTGATAATGTTAGTGCCCCTGCTCAATTAATCCCAGGTGCACTGGTAGGGATCCTGGACAAGCCAGCAGTGGTTAGCTAGGCCGCCTGTCTCTTTAAAGAGTCAGGGCCAAGCCTTTGGTTAGTCTTGCTGACCTGCTTTGAAATTCTATCTGGGATAGAGCCTTGGTTGTTTCTCCCTGCCGGCCTCCCCTGCCTTTCCTGTCCACAGCTGGCAGGGACTCCAGCCCGGGAGCCCCGTGCATGCGTGATGCCCAGACAGCTGCTGCTTGCTAAAGTAGGCAGGTTGACGGGAAGCGGCTAACGACAAAAGCAGTGTATGGAAATCCCCACCCTCCACTGCTCAGATGACCTCACAGTCACACCTGGAATCCTAGCGTGTGGGAGGTCAGGCAGGAGGATTACCAAGAACTGTAGACCTGCCTGTGTAGACCAGTGAGTTCTGGGTCAGTCTATGCTGAAGTGACATCAGACTCAAAAAATATAACAACAACAAAAATATCACAGGACCAAAGCACCATTGTGGGAGAGGCTTGTGGTCTTTGTTCTCCAGATTTGCTCCAGTGCTTTTTCTACCTGTCTCCAGAGAGAGAGAGGAGAGAGAGAGAGAGAGAGAGAGAGAGAGAGAGAGAGAGAGAGAGAGAGA